ACTTCTAAGGGTTTTGATGAAAATTCAGCTAACCTCTCACACTTTTGACAGAATGTTTGTGTCTGACATAATTGCATTGTTTTTGATTAGTGGCTTTGGTTAGAAAATCTGGACCTAGCAAGTTCCCCCAGCTCAGTCTCGTGCTTGTAGGATTTGAGTTGGCCCTTCCAGGGCTTTAGGTAACAGCTGGGGGGTGGCTTTATGTTAAGATCTGTGTATATTTTATTCTGCTTTTTCCCCCCTAAATTAATGCCAACCTTATGGTTTCTTAAAAGCTGAAACTACATTTTCTGTGGGCAGAAATACACCTCACCAGAATTTCCCCTTTGGAGAATTTTTTATATTCAAGTAAAATTGCCTTAGAAGTTAAAAATTTTATCTTCTTAACTAGCATTAAGAATTTTTGTTTTAAATAAAGACCCATTTTATTGATCAGACATCAACATTTATAGTTGTGAACCACAATGCATATAGGAAAGTAACATATTTATCCTTGATACTATAGAAATGTACAATGAAGTTATCTTTTCGCAGGTGGACTATCTTACTGTGATGGGAGCAGTCAGGTCAGTACGTGGGTAGTACTGTGAGAGTGAGCGTAGAGCAGTGTGTTGAGTAGTCCCTGCCCCAGGCCCCACCTGCTCCAGGGCCTCTTTGGAAGACCATACTGTGTGGATCTCTTCAATGCCAAGGTTCATGCCCTGGGTGACAGTAGCACAGAATTAAACAAATTAATTGGAGCTCTGACCAGCACTGCTGTGGGGCTAACAAACCAATTCTCTGGGGTCAGCCAGACCCCATTCTTTCGTTCTGGGGGTTCTCTTGTGACAGAAGACCAAATATGTCAGTCACTAAGATTAAACTAGTGATGAAATTCAGAAAAGCTGCTTCTACCTCTCCAATAAAAGAAGACATTTTTGTCACTTCAGAAATAATCTTTGAAATTGATACTGAAAAACGGCACTCTGTTAACTGGCATTAAGACTACCCTTTTGGGGGACCTGGATGGCTCATTCGGATAAGTGTCTGGCCCTTGATTACAGCTCAGGTCATGATCTTATGGTTCATGAGTTCAAGCCCGACATGGAGTTCCACTCTGACAGTGCAGAGCCTGCTTGGGATTCTTTCTCTCCCTCCCTCTCTGCCCCTCTCCTGCGTGCATGCGCATATGCTCTCTCTTTAAATAAAAAAGTAAATGAATAAATAAATGACTTTTTAAAAAGACTACCCTTTTAAAATACAGGAATACAATGCCTTTTAAAAAATCCAAAATAGAATTTCTATCTTAAATTATCTTACTATGTAAGTATTTTGTGTGCATGTTAAGTTTTATTGCAGGATGAATGATGGTCATTAATTTTAGATTCATAGATTCAAGGAACAAGAACAAAGCTGCCCGTTTTTTTAAAAAGCCACATGGTGACACATGCTGTGTTAAGAGTAGCCCAGGCAGATCAGGTTCCTTGGCAAACGTTAAGTTATATTGCTCTTATTGAATTATACCATGCTATTACTATTCTAAGTCACCTTAAAAAAAAAAAAAAAAAGTACACCCCGGAGCATCTAACTGGCTCTGTCACTTAAGCATCTGACATCAGCTTAGGTCAGGATCTCACGGTTCATGGGTTCACACCCCACATCATGCTCAGAGTTTGGAGCCTGCTTTGAATTCTGTGACTGCCTCTCTCTGCCCCTCCCCTGCTCATGCTCTCTCACTCTCTCTTAGTCTCTCAAAAATAAATAAATGTTTAAAAAAAAATACACCTAACTACAGTTAGATAGCTCTCTCACTAATCTGTTGTTCTGGCCAGTTAATTCATGCTTAGCCTGGTCTAATCCATAATCTCTGGTTACTTCTGCCTCCAGGACCTCCCTGTGGTTTCTTACCCATTGCTCAGTTTTCTCAGGGTCTGGTCTGTGGAGCGTCTGCACCACAGGGAACCTGTAAGGCTGTGGCCTCCTGGGCCTCCCACAGTCATACCCACCCTCTGTGTCTCACTGCCACCCACCTCGTGGGTATATTTGTGTCTATACGTTTATTTGAGCTACTGAAATTTTCTCTCCCACAGAAGAAATATCTACGTACCTCCTTGGCCTCCTTCCCCAAAATATAGCAGAACAATTATCTTGAAGCTGAACAAGTTGGACTTGGCCACCAAGGTTCCATATTTCTTTCGTTGCTGCTGGCTAGGGTGACATTTTCACTAGGTGCGAGTTTGATGATAAGCTGACTTCTGACACACATTGGCTCCTTTGATGGTCGCCACCCCAAGCATAAGCCAGGCAGAACCTCTAAACCACACACACAGTAAGGGGACTAAGTAGAATGCAGTAGGTTTCATCTACGGGCTGGGGGAATTAACCAGGGGAGTTAGTTTTGTTTCATGTTTTAACAAGCATAAAGTTTACTTACCAGTGTCTGTGCCCAGAGAAACTTAACATTTAAATGTTGAAATGTAGGAGCGCCTAGGTGACTCAGTCCGTTAAGCATCCAACTCTTGATCACAGCTCAGGTCTTAATCTCCTGCTTGTGGGACTGAACCCCACATTGAGCTCTGCACTGGTGGCCTGGAGCCTGCTTGGGGTTCTGTCTCTTCTCCCTCTCTGCCCTTTCCCAGCTCATATTCATTCTCTCTCTCTCTCTCTCTCTCTCTCTAAATATTAAAAATAAAATGTTGAAATTTAGTCTACAAAAATGTAAATTCCTGTTTGGTTGCTGTACCCAGAGCACCTTCTAGAAAGGTACCTTCTAGAAAGGAATGCACTCAGGCATTCATATTTGTTGGCTGTTGTTAGTGAATATCTTGATTTATTAAACATTGGACGACTTGCCCACAGTGTGACCTATCTACCATCTTTATAAGACATACAACCTGTACTTCACACTTTTTTTTTTTTTTTTTTTGGATAATTGGTATTTTCTTCATTTCTGGCTCAAGGTTTGAAAGCAGATTACCCCCCTTTTTTTTTTTAACTTGAATTTTATTTTTAAGCAGACTCTACACCCAACATAGGGCTTAAACTCACAATCCCAAGATCAAGACTCACACGCTCCACTGACTGAGCCACAGGCAGGTACCCCTAAAAGCAGATTACTCTCCTAAAGAAAGCCTTGTGTAGTAAGAACCAAGTGGGGCTGAAGCCCCGAGGAGGTGTGAGGTGGTCGCTGTTAAGTGGCCATGGTGTCTTGCTTGCTGGTCTGTCACCTGTGTGTATGGGCAGGTGTGTCTCCCTGTAGGGCCTGGTCAGAGGATTGCGTGACACAGCTCGCGGCAAACATTGCAGGCTCTGGTGTGTAGTAGGCATTTGAAGAAAAGATTTCCTTTCCCTCAGGGGTAAGTTAACTTTTTTAATAGCTTCTGAAGTTAGGAGAGAAAACACTTGATTGTTGAGAGTATGAAAAGATTAGTAACAATGGGGTACCTCTGATATAGAGTAAATCCTTAAAGTGCTATAAACCCCCACAAAGGGAGTAAACTGTTATACATCTACCCTGAAATTTTGAGGGCTGCCAGTTTTAGCCATTTAAATGAAACTTAATTTTAATGGGCTTTTACAGAGTAATGATAAAAACATTTGTATGGCAAAGATACAACCTAAGTGGTTTTTACTGTGGGTGGAGGTATATTCAGGGGACGTGCTTGGCCTCTCCTAAAAGTTTCTCTGTGGTCACAGCCCTTGTGTTCTCCCCTAGGGCTTTGGGAGTCTTCCCTTGGTTTATTCACAGAGCACAGATAATTCTATGTTCACACGCACACACACACCCCAGCCTCTCTCAGGCACTCACTCTTTGTGGGGTCATTGCATTTGGGTGCAGGTTGGGGAGACCAAGAAGATGGGGCAAAAATTTTGAGAAGACTTGGTAAAAGCTCAGTGTTTCAGGGGGTTTTTTTCCGAGTACACTTCTAAGTGCTTTTATAGAACTATGAATCCACATTAGTTTTACTTGAAATGATAAAATTCAGAAATCCAAAATATATTTTTATAAACACACAACACAGAAAGCCATATGTATGATATTGCGAAATCTGATTCTTGTAGGTTTTTGAATACTTTGCCGTGGTTAGAACAAAGCACGTGTGTTTAATTGTGAGTACGGCGTGCCCGTTTTAACAGTAAGTTTAAGTCACAAACCCAAGAACCTCATCTCTTTTCCCCAGCCTGCATTACTGAGTGCGGAGAATGCCATCTTCCTGGCACATGGTGGGATCTTTTCAGGACTCCCATATTTGCTCCCCTTCATGGCTTTAAGTGGTTTCATTACCAAACAGATGAGTAGACTGGGTGGGAATGTTAGTGACAGCTTGATGGAAAGGCAAAGTCCCTCTTTTTCCTTCTTTCAAAAATGCCTTTGCTCCTTCACCCAGAACGTTTCCTCTCCCCGTGTGGTATTTGTAGACTTGAATCCACCTTTACTGGCTGCATTAATACAAACACGTAATTATGCTTTAATTTGACCATGTGCTATATAAAGACACCCGCTGCACCTACTTCTGTAGAAGCAGCTCGTTTAGGTAGCCCACTGTTTCTCAGGTTTTCCCATATTTTGCTTTAAATAGAACGACCATTTCATTTCCTATTCCTACATGATGTTTGAAGTTTCCCTGCGAATCCTACCTTGTATAAGATCAAAATAGTTACTGACAGCCTGAATTTTTATGTTCTATGTTTCAAGTATGGTTTTTTGAGGGCAGATGATATTTATTGTACCATCATATTAATTTATCTTGTTGAAATGGAAGTGTGTAATTATTCGGCCAGGATATTTTTAAATTTTGCAATCCTGAGTCTCCAGTTTTGAAGAAGAAAGTTGTTCTTTATCCATTAGTCTTTGTAACCAACTATGTGTGGCACACCTTACCACCAGAAGCTAGTGCGTAGTCCTGGAAGTTAGGGAGATGCCAAAACAAAGCAAAGCAGAGTGTGTGAGATGGGCTTGCTTCTAGAAACTTACATCTGGAATGTGCTAAATGATTCCTGTTCTGTCTGTTCTGATGCAGCATCCATGAGGCAGTCTCAGGCTGTACCTGCAGATATGCGCCCGGAGATATGGATCGCACAGGAGCTGCGGCGTATTGGAGACGAATTTAATGCATATTACCCAAGGAGGGTAATGCTGTTTCTTTACCCCTTCTCCCCCCACCCTCCCCCTCCCCACAAGTTTTTGTTAAGGCGAGATGAGTAATAATTCTGGGCTTATTCTGGAAGCGTGAGGTATTGCTTATGTTTTAACCTACCAGTGTTTCTGCTTTCCCGTTTTCCATTTTAAAATGGAAAAAAGCATTTTAAAATGCTTTATGAATGAATTTTTTAAGTGATGGTAATGAAATACAGTACAAGGTGGCAAAGGGATTTTATGAGCATAGACTTTAGAACATCCATGCCAACAAAGGGATTATCGATAGGCTTTGAAATGTTCCCACATAAATAGTAATACAGCTTTCAGTCTGTTTAAGGTGTTTCTTTTTTTTATTTTTTTTAAAATTTTTTTAGTATTTGTTTATTTTGAAGGAGAGAGAGAGAGTGTGTGTGAGCAGGGGAGGGGCAGAGAGAGGGGGAGACAGAGAATCACAAGCAGGCTCCAGGCTCTCAGCTGTCCCCACAGAGCCCGACACGGGGCTCGAACTCACGAGCCATGAGATCATGACCTGAGCTGAAGTCGGATGCATAACTGACTGAGCCACCCAGGTGCCCCATGTATAGAGTGTTTCTTATTCCCTTTGGGTCCTTTGGATCAAAAGTTGAAGAACTATGAAAACTTGCATCTTTACTCAGCCGAAGGCAATGATGCCAACAGTAGTCATGTAATATCACCCCTGTAACCTGACAGGCGACAAGCCAGAGCAGGAGAGCCATCGCCCTTTGAGTCTGCATTGCTGTCCTCGAGCGCCCATTTACAGAAATGCGTTAGGAGGCCATCAGTCAGTGGTCTGTGATCCCAGGTCTAAGTATTTTACACCCTGAATTGACTGCCACCTAAATTCTGAGGTGTGCTGTTGATTACAAAAAAAAAATCTTCCCAGTATCTTCTTCAACAGACACAGTGTATGTTTTGTGTGTTTTCCTCAGTGGTAACAGACATTACCATTTGGACACGTTTAGCCCATGGAAGACATTTTAAAATGCATAAGCTTTAACTCCGGGAGTTGGGGCTGTTCTGAGTGTAGGCGAGTACTTCCTGCACAGGGTACCCTTGCAGACGTGTAATAGAATGAACCTTTGGCTCATTGACATTTATTTCAAACAAGCAAGTATGAAGATATTTCTGTGGATTTATCCAAAAAGAAGACACATCTTACTTTGTAGAAAATGTTATCATTGTTATTATCACCCTTCCTTATTGTGTCTTATCTCACGGGTTGGTTTGTTTGTTTTTTTCCTGAATGTTACGGCTTCGTATAAATCTCTCTTCAAGATTTTTTTTTCTGATTTTTTTTTTTTTCCTGGAAGGAGAGGTCATCCTTAGAATACCCCAGTACTTCTGTCCTGCTTTAAATGCTGGTCTCTTTTTTAGCGAACTGTTGCTAAGTAAGCGGATGTTACCTATTAGTTGCTTTTAGTCATTCTTGTTTTCCTGTCCATACAATGCCTTTCAGGCTTTTTTTAAACACACATGGAGACATCCTCCTATTTTCAGAGGGTCTTTCATTAATTTTTTCAGCATAGAGTCTTGTACAGGAGCCAGTGATGCTCTGAAAACTCACACTGGATCCTCTTCGCACCTTCCCGCAGGTGTGTTTGATGGGAAATGTGCTATAGTAGGATTCCCGTGTTAAATGACAAATGTCACACTGATGGATGAGTTTAGGAGTTTCTCACGCAGCTGTCTTGAGCTGGCAGGAGTATCCAGCATCCTACATCTGATGGTTACAGCGCATAAATTCCTCCTCAGCCTAGCTCTGAAATGGTAATTGTTCCTGCAAGGTTGACTGTTTTGTAATTTGCCACTCAAGTCCCTCTTCCCCCTCAACTTCCCAGCTCCTTTGCCTTGATTTTGGTGCTCCTGTGTGTGACCGGACTCAGCCCTCCTGGTGGACCAGGAGGGACTGGGCAGAATCAGGAGCCCGGTGCATTCACGATGAGGACCTCATGCTGGGGTGGGGAGGCTGCCTGTGACTGAAGAAGGCAGACTGATTCCGGGGGGCACATCCGTGATTCAGCGGGAGAAGGTGGTATGGTGGCCTCTTGAGTTATAGCCCAAGCAGTGAAGTAACCAGTGTGCCTCCTTCCCGCATCTTAAAGGGGTTTATAGATGTCCTTAGGCCAGATCTGACTTGGGGGGCTGCCCAAGAGACATGAGGTTGTTGGGCTCTGTTGCCTTCAGGGTCCAGAAGCTCTGGACACCACCATGAGTCCACACAGCTCCATTCTCAGGCCCTGGATCAGAGCCTTTGGCCACAGAGCCAGGAGCCTAGTAAGGATATTGTGTGGAAGTTTCTCTTTCAACTTACATGGAGCACCAGTGACTCTATAAGGCGTCCCCCAGAGGGACCTGGTTTGATGCACCGTGCACACCACGGTGGCCTGTGTGATCAGTGAGAAGACACGGGTCAAGTGTGGCATGAGGGCTGGCGCACAGCCAAGCCACAGCCATCCTCACATAGGCCCTGGAGGTGGACAGTGCAAGTCACGTGCAGTTGGGTCACAGGCTGTTGGGTTGTTTACATCACCTTGCCTGTCCGTTGGAGGTGAAGGAACAGTGTCTAGCAGATTGTATCCTTCCTCTCCTCTTCTTCTCCCAGTGTTCGTCCACAGTGCAGCTTTTCGGAGGCTATTTGAGATGGCCAGACCTATTTATTCAAATGAGATACTGTTTGTTCTCAGTGCTTTTGGTAAAATAAATGTGTTTCACCGCAGTACCACACAGTTTCCTGGTGACAAACCTTATTTTGCATCTCTTAAAAAAAAAGTGAACCACTGGGAAAATGCAGTCCCTGATAATTTAAGAGACTCTAGCTTTCTAAGTAGGCTGGGATATCGGGGGAGGCTTGGGGACAGACCGTAGGTTATAGCCTGATTTTGTAAAATGAAGGCAAATACATTCTCCAGATTTGAATGAAGAGCCAGTTCGAAGCACCAGACCCTGGATAGTGACACGGTGACCCCCAAAGCTACAGACGCCCGTCTTGGTAGTTGTTAGGTTAAAAATAATCCTTAGCCTGCAGCCACATTGATGGACTGTCCGTTGTTGAATAGTGGGGGTGGAGATCTGAGGAGGAAGTGGGAGGCTGTAGTGGAAAGTAATGCATTCATGTCGCCCACTGGCTCACGGGGTGGGGGGCTGGGGGCTACTTGTTTGGTGAGTGGTGCGCGCCGTGGCCCTGCTTTACAGATGATTGCTTTTTAATAGATTTTAGCATTTTTAAATACTTAGTGTCTTTATTTGCCTAATACTATTACAGTGCCTTTTCTAAAGTGTTGGTCTTTTACTGCCATGAGCCTTGCGAAGCCTGACAGGATATTTTCCCGTTTTTTCAGTTAGAGCAATAGAGGAAGGTGTCCTGTAGTTGTCATGTGTTCAGTCCACTTAAGGGCAGTGGGGAAGCGTTTGCCGCGGAGCTGTGCAGTCTGAGCCCCTGGAGGAGGTGTGAGAGAGGCGCAGGTGAGCACAAAGTCCCGGTGCATGTTCCCTTTCTCTCTTGTGACTCCATGTCACCACCCCCGCATCACCCTGCCGGGGCAGAGTGGCCCGCGTACCCCCCTCTGCCTGGTGAGCCTGACTGCTCCAAGTCCGGTGTATTTTTGTGACTTTTTCATTTTGAAATAATTGCAGAGTTCATGTGAAAGTTGCAAGAACAGTACAAAGAAGCCCCTTCCGTCCGCCACCTGAGTGCCCCAGTGTTCCTGCGTTGCCACATTGGCTTTAACGTTCTTCCCCTTTCTCCCCGCGTGCCTATTATTTTCTGCACTGTTTGAGAATAAATGGCAGGTGTGACATCCTTTTACTCTTCAGTGCGTCCGTGTGTCTTCCCCCCGCCCCCCCATGAAAATCTCCTCATATGTAACCACACTGTAGTTCTTGAAATCCGGAAATTAACAGTGTTACAGTACTGTTACGTAACCTGTGGACCTCATCCAAACTTTACCAGTTGTGCCAAAAATGTCCTTTATTGTAAGATAAAAACAGGTTTTTATCTGGTCCAAGATGCAGTTTAGAGTCCTGCATTAAATGTAGTTGTCTTACCGCTTTGACACCGTAACTTAGAACCACCCCTCGGTCTTCGTGCCGCTGACACTGTGGAAAGGTCAGGACCGTTATTTTATAGATTCACCCTGATTCCGGTTTGTCTGATGTCACCTCGTGATGAGATTTGAGGTTTGTGTCTGGGGCAGGAGCACTACAGGAGTGACACTGGCCTCCTCCATCCAGGCTACACTGGGAGGCATGGGGCATCCGTTTGTCCTGTTACTGGCGAGGCTGACTGGTCAACAGCGGGGTCCCCGACTCTCAAGTCAGTACGTTTCCATCTGTCACGGAAGGAACGTGTGTGTAGAGGAGGAAGAAGTTCCCTCCCCGACTGTGTGCTTATTTTGTTTGTCGACCTAAATTCACGGGTCCCTGTTTAATTCTACACGTTACTACGCATTACTCTTAGCACTTATTTTGATCCTTCAAATTATCCTAGATTTGGCCAGTGGCAGCCCCGGTGCATTTTCACCTGTCGTTAAGCATTAAGGAGCCTCAGTAGTGCAGGCGCACATAGAAGGTATTACAGGACGAAGCCTGGGGGCCTATGGAGGTGGCGCGGCTCCTGAAGGGCGTCTGTTGCTTAATGATGACCTACACCCACACAGGCCCTGACTGCCCAGCTCCCTGTGCCCGGGATCTTGGTGAACGCCAGAGAGCATGGATCTGTGGGCCTGTAAGGAGGAAGATTTCTCAGAGAAGCTAGGTCTCTGCCTTGAGCTCTACGAAGAGCCTGAATGGCTCGCATGTAGCTGAGTGGTGCGGCATGGAGCACCGAGTGCCCAGCACCACTTCTTGGGATGGTGTCCACTTGGATGGGATTCTTAGCCGTGGGCTAAGGGCGCAGTCCAAGCCTGTGGAGCATGTGCCGGACCTTCATAACACAAGGACGTGTGCTCTTGGGATAATCAGACCCATCTTCT